TCCTCAATTTTCCTCAATAAAATATTGTCTGCATCCAGTGCAACCTCGCAAGCAGACAATACTGTCAATACTACAATAGTATGAAAAAACTTACCACTTTCGGGACGACATCTATGAGTAGCGAATGTGAACATACATTTTGAGCACATTCTGGACATTTAAATTCTTTGGCAATCTTCTAAAAAAACAAAAAAAAAATGTATTTAAAAATATATCTACACTTCGTTAATTATCTAGAGTATTAGATATTAGGTTTTAATTTCCAATTCGTTKATTATTTTAATTTATATTTTTGGTTAACAATGATTACATATTTTTTCAGTTTTCGACGATTTTGATGCCGATATGATTATCAAATCCCCTGGTATTATCTACAGTTTTTATTTATATAAACTTATGTCATATTATAAATAAAAGTTACAACTTATTACAATGACTGTAGATACAAATCACTGTTTAAACAAAACGGTCAAACTTAGATATTATAAAATAGAATTGCTAAAATGTAACACGTAAATATTATTATGTGGTATTGACTATGGTATAGTATAATATTCATCACATAATTTAGACATTTTTGCGTTGAATAAATTATTTTTTTGCACTGTATTATAATACACGTACAACCACAAATGAGTAGCATATTATTATAGACCGAATGGATTTATGAGTTGATTTTTAATATCAGCATGGTGTAGGAGTATGGGTTTCATAATTAAACCTGAATGTTTCATACGAAGACCACACTCAGCCGATATACAGCGAGATAGCTTAATATATAGGTCCACAATAAAACTATCGTTTTTCGCAGTTTTATAGCGTTTCCATTAAACGCAAAACAAAGCTGATGCCGTTTAAATACCTTTTTATAATGTAATATAAAAGAAACAAACTGTGCCAATAGACGTCTATTGACATTTAATTTTATCGTGTAGGCCGCTTCAACTACGTCATCGTAACCTATGCTACTAGTAATGTTTAGGCTTTGCCGTGAATAAAAATGTCGTGAACGATGGTCGCTTAAGTGCAATATATCCATCCTAATTGTATTCAGTACCTAACATTATTGGAATTAGTTTAGTATTTCTAATTTTTATATTGTATTTATTGTAT